CTTGTGCAAAGTGCTGACACTAGACAATCTCTTTTGTAAGGATTTTCTAAAGTATGATCACATTATTTCATGCTATTTTAAATTTCGTCTATATTATTTATTTATTTGTTTGTTTTTTAGATTCCTAAGTGATGTACTTGTTGTTAGCGTTCACWTTGATTAATAATTTATAGTTTTTCTATTTTTTCCCATTCGCTTTCTTATTGCTTTTTACCATTTTCTGCCCATTCAATTTCATAAACTGCAAGATTCAATCTCCAATCAAAGCAAAGAAAAATAAAATAACCCATGAAGGAAAGCCGACAATTTGCAGTTCCTTCCGTTCTACATATATAAGTGATTCCTCCTCAAAAAACACAAACTAAAAAAAGAGGTTAATGCATCATTACTGCGTTGGTCGTGAATTGTGTACACAAGCAAATGTCACGAATATATGTCCTCAAAGCACGTAATCACAAAAAGTTCAAAAAGTCAAATCGTCCAGCACATAATTCAAAAATGATTCATTAAAAAAATCCCACCRAAAAAATAGAACTTTGGACAATAAAAATTCAAMCTCAAATTAAAAATTTGTTATTACCTCCTAGTRCTCCTTTAGTGAAGTCAAATTTTCTAAATTTMGCATTTCTTGATCCAATGGCGTAAAGTAAAGTCCGTGAGCTTTTAAAACAACATGATGATTTGGCAAGAAAACTTTATTTGAAAGCTGACACGACGCCGTTCGATTATATCTACGCAAAAAAAGATATGTGTTATTTGCGTGTCTGTCCACACTGGAGAGAGTTAGTGCTTGACACTGGATGACACGACTGAACAACTGATACTAGAGTTAGAGGATAACTATTAGCAGTCACTCGAAGTAATCAAGATAATACCCAAGTGATTGTGAATGTAAACACAGATTTGAGAGGGGACACTTATTGGGTGACATAGCGACAAGTTGTTCTTGTGTTTTTAGCGCGGTTTTGATTGTCTTCGCGGTTGCGGCGCCCAGGATGACCTTACACTTCCTTGATTAAAACAGAGTCACGACACGTCCCAACTCACGTGTTTTCAACGCAAAACGTCTCGTGTTTTACGTAACCGACGTRTTCAATCAATCAGCCAATCACTCAGAAAAAAGAGTAAAAATTTCGGTCGAATTGGAGGGGAAAATCCCCAAAAGAGATATCGAATAATTATGTCATTGAGTTGAATGAGCTGTAAAGATGAGATGAGGAGTTAGAAAACAAATCGTGGATAAGTGAATCAATTTATGGCTAAATGAATGAAAATATACATTAATTAATGGATGGATGGATGTTGTGTGTTGATGAACTCATCAAAATAAGTGCGCGGCACCCTACTGGGAAAACAGMGCACAGGTATAAAGGAGGAGAAGGGTTTGCGTCAAGTCCATGAACACTAAAACGTTTTTTCGTAGAACAATTTTGTAGAKGTAGTAYATATTGAGCTGCGGCAGTAATGTATCTAAAAATAATAAMAATTCCAATAATATTGATAATTTGATAATTAGCTACATCTCGAGGCTAGAACAGAGCARTCAATTAATCCCTCGAGTAAATGTTTTCAGTTGTTTACCGTYCTTTTCTATTAACACCTTTAAGCCCTTTTAAATTCTAGCAGTAATGATCTTATATAATCTCAAGAGATATTCCCAGCAATTTGGTATAGTGTTATCATTGTCTATAATCCTTTTTTGAGACACTACAACACGTACTGCCGTTTTGTTATCGTCTTTGCGCAGCCTTAGGGCCGGTTCATACTACGATATAAGCAGAAGTCGCCGTAGAACAAACGATGTTGTCAACCATACGACATAAGACATCAACATAATCATAGCAATTAATAAGGCAATGCAGAAACTAATTAAAAACAAAAGAGTAAACCGAGGAAAAATTAACACCTTCGTTTGGTCTTCCTCATTCTTTTTAATTGCTAAATCTAGCTTTCTCCTTTACTTCTGCAAATGTCGTGGTGTGTATCGGACCTACTTTTCCTATATATACCTTATTCAGTCACAAACACTCTACTCAGCGCGTAATGATGATAGGAAAAACAATTTGAARTCTCAAGAGCTATAGCTCAATCTATCATATTGCTGGCTGCCCAAACGATCGCAACTATACACTTCTACGCGCGTTAAACTTGAATTACTTTCCAGCTGAACCTGGAATRTCTATCTCTTGAACTAACCTTAATGAACACATGTTTTCTTGATATGTTTCAGTATCTCGATTATATTGTCTTGGTATGAGACCCTCAGGGTGGGGGTGGGGTGAGGGTGTACCACCTCATATCCTCCTATAAACGTTTTCACATAATCAGTAAAAATAACAACTAGATATGGTACAAGCAGAGGTCACTAATTACTAAATATACCATCTCTTTGTGTGGTTGGGTTCGACTATAAAAAAAGGTATAAACATGCACCAAACAACGGGTTGATATTAGAAATATAGGACCTTAAAGTCTTTATAGTTCGTATCTCTCGCTCGTATTTTCGCCAGATGATGATACAAAATTTTAGGGGGTGGGTCAACCCTTGGTGTGGTGTGGTGTGATGTGATGTGGTGTGGTGTGGTGTGGTGTGATGTGGTGTGGTGTGGTGTGGTGTGGTGTGGTGTGGTGTGGTGTGGTGTGATGTGATGTGGTGTGGTGTGGTGTGGTGTGATGTGGTGTGGTGTGGTGTGGTGTGGTGTGGTGTGGTGTGGTGTGGTGTGATGTGATGTGGTGTGGTGTGGTG